AATTCAAATTTTAAATAGTTTTGGTATATCAGTGCTACTATTCAACGATAATATTAACGACTGGAAATTCGGTTACTCCCTCCTAATAGATTCTGCAATTTCACAAGCAATAAATAGAGATCAAGATTCATTGTATCAAAGCAGTTATCATCCATGGTATATTAAACTATTGCAAATTCCATCTTTACAACCCTATATGTTTCAGCCAATAAATCTAAACGTAAAACGTCTAATAATTCAACTCCGTTTAAATAAATATTCTGTGTTTATTAATAATATATATATCGACCTAACAAGAACTTACTGTCCCTTATGCAACTCTGAAGAATTTTCACTACTCCACTTAATTCAAAGTTGTAAAGAACTTTTAAAACTACGTAATTACTATAAAATACCCCAAATATGTCAGACTAATTCAGAACTGGAGTTTAAATTAAGAGATCTTAATAAAACGGATCTTTATAAAATTTACAATTACTTTGTAAAAGTTTCAGAACAATACTATTTGTCAAACCAAAATTAATGTTTGTACAATCATCTGCTGTTTTGGAAAAGCATTTGATTTACCACGTTTGTAAATATAATTGATGTCTAAACTAAATGAGAATTGATTTGTAATTTAATATTTTTAAATTTTAAATTTACTATTCCTAGATGTATTTTTCTCAAATTATTTGTAAAATTCCCCCTCAACAGAGAAATTGTTCTCTATTGTTAACATTAACTAACACTGTATTAAACTATTTGATGTAAATCATATTGTATAATATAAATTCTATGCTGTGAAAAATTATTAAAACTGGATCAAAGCATCAATTGATTTAGTTAGATATATAGCTTAGTAGATATATTTCTGAAGGCATAGAGTTTAGTTACACAAAACAAAAATAAATTATATATCATACCATTGATTTAAAAAAATGAAAAGTATTAAGAATTTAACAGAAAAAGAAAAAACAAATAGAATCATCACATAAATGAATAGGATATCTCATGTTCAGATCCTAAAGTCACCTTTACACAAAAAATAAAAAATTTTTGTAACCAATCTTTCTACCAATGTACTAAGCTGCACTTCCAAATGTTGTATATGACTTAAATATTTAATTCTCTTTTATATTAAAAAATTATTTATCAAGAATATTTTAATTTTTTTTTATTTTTGATTACATTAAATCAATAAAATTTCATTAATGCAAATTATTCAATAATTTGAACACTTTGCTAAATAATTTTACAGACATTACTCACAAGTACAAATTCAATGAGGAATTTTGAAAATAAAGAAATATATAAAGATTAAGATAAAATTAGTTGGTAAGTTGATGATGACTTAAAATTTGGCCTTTCTTAATAGACAAACCACTGAAAACTTTGAAATGCTACATAAGTGTAATTGAATAATATAGACTTATTAATAATCACTATACAATTTTAGATATTTTTCCTAATTACACAATGAAAGATTAATTACAAAAAAATTTATTGTTTAATTACAAAAAAATCTAATCATGCAAAGATTCTTATTCAAAAAATTTTTTATGCTTCTGATATCAATTTTAAAATTTTAATACTTCAATTAATTATTTTAATGTAAAAACTCATCAGAAAACATACAAATTATAAAATAATCTATATTTATAACAAACAGTTACATAATTTTGATATCAAATTTAATAAAACAACTGATAAAAATATGAAAATTATTAAACTTACATGTTATTCTAATAACATGAACTGATTGATAACAATATCTGTCATTACACTTAATGAAGTCTATTATATTTGCACACACAGTAAATTATAAAATTTTACACTGAAAATTAAGTTTATGTTAAATTAAAATTATGATTCATCAAAAACCTATCCACAAATCAACAAATGTAATAGATGTATCAGAATATAAAATGTATGAATGATATACATATTGTTATTTCATAACAATAGTATAAAAATATTAAAGGTTATTAGAAAATTAAGTAGTTATAGATACTGACAAGAGTACAGAAAACTCGATATTACTGTATTTACTTGTATATAAGACAATTTTGTATATAGGACTAGGTGTGACTTTAAAGATCAAAACAAAGAAAATTAGATTTATTAATACAAATCTAATTTTATTTCATTTAATCACAAATAAAATATCAAATGCACATAAATATACACATTGTGTCACAAAAATTACTTGCATTTTAAACCTTAAGAAAAAATCTTGCAAAATCGACAACATAATTTGTTCACATAAAACTGGACAATTGGAATCCACTTTCTGCCAATTACACTTATGAGTTTCTCCAAACTCTGATTTCCAAACAAATCATCTGTTTTCACTTGGGAATGGATTAAAACTTATATCAGGCATCCATGTGATTTTAAAATTTCAATTTTGAATTTAATTCAAAAGCTTTGCTTTTCCTATTGCTATTCATCTTTACTCCTGACAATACACAAGAATCATTCAAACAACCCAAATAAAATACTTTTACAATCTCTCTACACACTGGTGAATATAAATAAAATACTCCTCAAACCTTTTAACCAGAGTGCTTCTATTTTTAGAATCGTGAATGTTTTCGTCGCCCCTCCTGGGCTCATCTTCAGGCTTTAACAAATAGGCCATTACTGTTCAAATAAACATTCGATATGAATTTCTTCCAAACACTATCATGTGAAATCATTCCGTAGTTGTATTGCGCATGCTCCATAATCATCTTCTTTAAACGCTGTTATCCAGCAAAATCTGCCATGCTACAGATAAAAGCCATTTTCTCCTTATAATTAATATACATACCATTTCTTCCCACCTTAAATATCTCCATGGCTTCTAGCCATTTTAGTTGTTGTGGGTTGGAGTTGGTTATAATAATTTTTGCCGCATGCAGGTCCGCTGTTATTTCCTGTTCCAAAGCATATGTTGCTAGGGCCATTGTGTTTCTACCATGCTGTATATCTGACTCATGTTCTTTTAGCCTCACTTTTAACAAACGTTACATGGAACCAATATATGTCAGTTGTCTCTCATACCTGTTGTCTTCTAGCGGTACTGCATATACTCCTGGAAGCCTTTCAGGGTTTGGTAGGTCTTTGCCATTAGTTAGTATCCTGAAGACAGTTTGACACCTTCTGTATACAATATTTATGCCCCTTCGTTTGGCTACCATGTTGTAGACTGATTTCAGTATTAAATTATATGTGATAGGTATCCTCTCTTTTTCTTCATCACGTGTATTCAATGGTGGCCCTGTCTGATCAATGGCTTTTTGGGAAACCTAATGCCTTTTAGACAAATTTTTGTCTAGTGTGTTGTTGTATCCATGGGCTACAGCAATATTTTCTATATGTTGGAGTTCCATTGTTAGAGCTTGTTGCGTCGAGGAGTGCGTGTGTGCTCTTCTCACTAATGCTCAGAAAGTGGCGATTTTGTATGGGATAGGATGGCACAAATTTCTTGGAATATATGTTGGGAAGGTACTAGGTTTCCAGTACACAGATGTATGTTAGCTCCTTCGAAGTTGATATCAATGTCCAAGAAATGCACCCTTGAAGAGTCATGTTGCTCTACTTCTAATGAAAACCCATATGGATTGTTATTCATGGCTTCTAGGAAGAGTTTTATGTCTGGTTCCACCTTCCAAAATATAACAATGTCATCAATATAACGTTTATACAACAAGATATTGTGCAAAAAGCGTGGTAGAACGTTGTTTTCTAATCTCCTGATTACCATTTTGCACAAATCACCCGACACTGGACTACCCATCAGGACTCCTTTGCCTTGCATGTATGTGTTCCCATTAAATTGGAAAAGAGAGCTATAGCATAACAAATGGGCTAGCTCAAGAATCTGTTGGTGCATTCTGGTGTCCTCAACAATTGAAAACAGGTAGTTCCTGAGCTCGCAAAAACAAGGTGGTAGTTCTATTGAAGGAAATAACAATTGGAAGTCCAAAACCGTAGCATAATCTGGATGTGCTATCTTCTTCAATTGTTCTATAAGTTCTGCTCGGTTGGATGTATTGAATTGGTATCCTTCCAGATGCAGGATGAGTAAGTTGTGTATGAATAATGAATAAAAACCTCAACTCTTACTTGTCTTATATGCGAGTAGATATGGTAATTACATTAAATATTTTGAAAATTCATACATATAAATTATTCCAAAACAATAATTAAATATTTCCTCTAACCATATGTATTTTCATTTGATATATCTATTCAGAAATGAGAGAATTAGGATATTTCAAAATATAATTTTAACATGAGTCTGAAAAATTATATCTGCCCTATGTTTGTAATAATCCAACAATGTTCAACAAAAAATTGAGTTAACATATTCTTCCCCCAAGATCTTTAAATATATATAATTTTAGCTTTTTATTTTTAAATAATTTATTAATTCACCTGTAATCCTTCTATAATGAGTTTGAGCAATTTTGGATTTAAATGAGATGATTGTTTGAAGCTAAATTCAGTCCAATCAACAATTATAACAAAACCATTTACTTGAGTTTCTTCTTCTTCAAGCTAAATAATAATAATTTAATTAATTAATTTTTTATGCATTTAAAAACTCTCAAATACATTACATGATTCATAATAAAAGAAAATACATACCAAACGCTCTAAAGATAATAGAATAGCACGATATATGGAAACTAAACTGTACCGCCAGTGGTCCCAATTAGCAGTAAAAATGATTAGAATTCGACGCCCGTGTTGATCTGGCTGAGGGAGAACCCCTGGAAAGCCATCCAGTAAGGCTTGCTTAATTCCAGTTTCTGAGGCATTAAAACTGTAATAAAATTATCATCAAAGCAAAAATCAACAATTAAAAAAAAAATAATTAAGTTAAATATAGATTTTAATTTTCTATATGTGTCAGCAATATTTATGAAATTTAATTTTCTTAAAATCTTCAATTGTATTAACTTGAATAACTAAATGCTTACTGGAAATATTAAATAAAAACAAACAAACACCTTTCTCTATTTCAGCACAATTTTAATGCGTTGAAAAACGTTTTCGATCGTTTTAATCGATCGTCTTCAGTTCAAAATTCGAACTATATAATGAACAAAGTATTTGAAAAAATACAAAAAATTTCACATCGCCTATTTACAACTTAACACTAAAGCGCATATGCGTACTTATAAAAGGACTTCCAGGCTGTTAATAATCCTTTGGCATCTCTGTGGTTGATGCACTGCGCAGTCATTCTATCGGTGTGACTCTATTGATAAAGATGACTCCAATTGTGTAATGTGCTAAACTCATCCATTACCATTCTACATCATCATCATTGTTATTTGGATAATATTTTGAAACAAAACATCTCAGAATGTCAAATTTAACTGATTATATTGGAACAACATCTCAAACCAGCTTTCTAAAGATTAAATATGTCATCAACAGGATCACACAAAAAGATGCAAATCTGCTTAATAACATATCACAAATAGGTCAAAAATCACTGTGGGTAACAAGCTGATATAAAGTAACTAAACATTATTTTAAAAAAAATCAATCTCCTGTAAAATGTGGTTATTCAGATTTGGGACACCATTCTTTTGGAGAATTGAATTAAATTTTTTTTAATTCCAATTTTATCTATCAGAAATAAAGTGACACTATACAACATGAGAGATCTATTTCATAATTTGACATAATAAACATGTAATAAGAGAATTATATACTAAATTATATACACACCAAATATGGTGTATGTATTTATATATAATGTCTGGTTCCTGTGTGTAATAATAGGAGACTAGGTGCAATAATATGAAACATCATAACATCTTTAACCAGAATATATCAATATTCTCAACCATATTTGTAACCATATAGCTGTCATTTTGGTACTAAAACTTTGTTTAGAAAACGGTCTAATATGCATATTACTCATTCATCTGGTTTATATGAACTCCCAAAGCTGGAACAACAGTCAATATCTCAAAAACCTCAGTACTTACTCCAGCACATGATTCAATAAACATAGAAACATTTCATCAAGTATTACAGTCTTCCATTGAATCACCATACAGTTTCATCAATATAAAGTTAACACTTTTTTAAGTCTACATCAAAGAAATGATCCTTTTAAATTATACCATGCTGCTAATGGATTATTATTGCTTCAAAAACTTTAATTTTATGGCATTCAATGGAAGGCTGTACTATTTGATGAAGGCCCTAAATGGGGCTGAAAATGTTTGTATGTTTATTACATCATGTGCTGGAGTAAGTACTGAGATTGAGATATCTGGTAGACAGCATATCTGGATAAGGAAAAGTCAGACAACACTGAGATTGAGGACAAAGCATTTTATGAAGTAAACACATCAGAGCATCCAATATGTTGTTTACTTTTTATCTGTAATTTTTATAACACATGTAATAATGTTATATACAAAATTTTAAGCAAAAACAAGTCAGTAAGATGCCTCCAATTACCATGCCATGTTATATGCAAAGTATGTTTTATATCATGTTATAACCGCATGTTTTATAAAAATGTTTGTGATTGAATTTTTACACAATATTATCACTTAATAATACTTACTGTAATAAATATAAAATATAATTATTTTCTACTTTTCGTTTACATAAAATTTTTATGTTATGGCTTATTGAACCAGATAATACAAAGAGCCAGATGATTATGAGCCTACTGTATTTTCAGTGCTTATTGTATTAGCAGAGTAATAATTGTTGTATGGTAAGATAGCTAAGCATACATCTGCAAATAGTAATGTTACTTTTCTTCTATCTACTTTTTACTATATAAATGCTGTAAGCCATTTTAATTGAAACTTTAAATTTTAGTTTAGAAAACATATAATAAAAAGCATCTTGATTTTCTGGGGATTAGTAATACAAAAATAATATTTTAATTGAAGACCTAGGGGCAAGAACATATTAACTCATTTTTTCAGGTTTCTGGAAAAAAATCACATCAAATTAACCAGTTCAAAATTTTCTCTGTATTTTAGGACAGACAATAGGTAATTAATGATGGAGGTTAATAAATTAGTTTATGAGAAGTTATGGATCATGAGTCTGAAAAATTATATCTGCCCTATGTTTGTAATAATCCAACAATGTTCAACAAAAAATTGAGTTAACATATTCTTCCCCCAAGATCTTTAATTGTACCACAGACAAAAAACAAATAACAAGATTGGTCAAGCCAATCTGATAGCACGCTCCACAAAAGCGAATCAAATATTAATTTTGTTTAAAATAAATTTTATAAATTCTTGAAATCAAGTAGTTGTTCAGAAGAATTTTTCATTGAATATACAGTAAGGAATGTGGTTTATAGATTCCAGAGGAACTGGGTAGTTTTTACTATAGCTTACAGTGACTATAAACAAAAATGTTCAGTTCCCTTTTGTGCATGCATGTTGACATAAACAATAAATGGATTGAACGAAGCATGTGCATGCAAATGCGCAATGAATGGATTGAATGGATTATAATCTCAAAAATATAATGTCTGACAGACATACAAAAGTGCTAACATAAGCACTTCACTATTATAGTGGAGTGTGCTAAAAAAGAATAATGTAACAGTAGAATCATAGAATTATTGAGAGACCATGATTTATTTCAAATTAGACATTTTTCAGGATTATACATCTCATCATCAGATCCTACAGAATTGGAACAAAAATCATTAAGTTATAAAATCTTTGAGTTTTTGGACATTTCAAACATTCAATTAAGAGTTTGATCACATATAAAAAAAATCACAAAGGAAAAACAATAAAAATAAAATAGGAACCAATATACAAAATAATCAATATCAGAATATGACTAAAAATAAAAATAAACTGATTTAGAAGAAAAAATAAACATCAGATAGAACAAGTGGATTCCATTGATTCCAGCATTATGCTATTCTTCTTTTTTATTATGTAATTGTATAACTGCTTTAAAAAAAATCTAAAAAATCATATCAAATTATAACCATAAAAAAATATATTAAAAATTTACCTTCTAAATAGAGATTTATTTCTCTGACGATATTGAAAATATTGTATGTAAAGATTGAAGGCAAGAGTGACATCAAATTTACGAGCTCTTAAAAAGCGAAGTATAAAAGCATCATCAGATCTAAGAAATGCTGAAAAAAAATTTAAAAATTTATATAAATTCTGAATTGCTAATACATATATAATTTAATAAGAAAGAAGGTATTTGAATCATTTGATTTAATACATAAATATATAAATTTATATTATCAAAAAAAATTTTAGATATTTTATATTTTATTTCCAACTAAAAAATTCATTCTCTAGTTAATAATAAAATAATTACATATATATAACTATACTTAATCATGTAATTTTTACTTTTGATCAGATAAAACAATAGAATATGACAGTGTTTTCAAAATCTTGTTGTGTATCTTCAATTTGTTTTTATTTACTTACAAAATTTTGATAATTAATAAATCAAAATGAAAAAAATGTAAAATTTTATGGTGCTACATATATACTACAGTACACAATAATGCACCTAATACACCCACCATACACAATAAGAACACAGGTGGCTCTAAACTTATACAGATTAATGCACAGAAATGCAAAGCTGCTTGCTCCCTCTTCATTCACACTTCCAATGTACCATTACACAATACAGACATCATTATGATCCAAGAACCCTACACTATTAACAACATGATAGTCAGGTTCAATGACTGGAAAGTCTATCCAGCTCAGGACCCTAGCTATCACATCAAGGCTGGTATTATCATCAGGAACAAAAACATTACCACCTGCCTTGTCTCCCAACACACCACAGAATGCATTACCACCATCTGTGTTACAGACAATAACATTCACCTTTACATATGTTCCATCTACATTCCAGACACCACTAACATTGAGACAGCAATTGAAGACATTCATCACCTCCTGAACTCATACAAAGATAAACCTATCCTAATAGAAGGAGACTTCAATGCCAAGTCTGCAACCTGCCATAGTCCAAAAGTTCATTTACTACCATGTAAATGTACAGTAATACCGCGACTTACGCTACCCCAACTTACGCGAACCCAGAATTACGCGATTTTCAAATCTCGCCGATTCGTCTTTTGTTTGAGCACCACGCAACTCTTGATTACTCACTCCCCCCACACTATTGTTCAGCTTATGTGTTCGGAAATGTCACGCGGAATCGACGCATAGCTACAATTTATTTTGTGTTATTTATTTCTGTGTTTGATTTATCTACGGAGACTTGAGAGACTCTACTATGTCATCCAAATGAAGTAGAATTGATTCTTCTGCATCAAACAAAAAAAGAAAAAATTTATCTTTGGAATGTAAAGTTAACATTATTAAAGACCTCGATACAAAAATGAAAATTTGTGAATTGGCAAAGAAGTTTGATCTACCGGAATCGACGGCCAAAACAATTATAAAAGACAAAGAAAAAATTCTCGAAGCTGTGAAAAATGCTCAATCTTTAAATTCAAGCATCATTCATAAATGTCACGATATTATCGCTGAGATGGAAACAATGTTAAAATTATGGTGTGATAATCAAGTAATTGTGAAAAATTGTATAATAATATAATATGTTATACATATCTATTATCTAAGATTTTATTAAACATTTTTTTCTAAATTATTGCTTTTTTTAGTCTCCAGCCCCAATTAAAAATTATTTGTATGTATTTATATGCGAAATTATACCCTGACTTACGCAAATTCGACTTAGGTGGTTATCGCTCAGCCCTACCTATCTCATAAGTTCAGGGTATTACTGTAAATGAAACCATGGCTGAACACCTTACTCAACTGAACAGGAGTAAGTTTGAAAGGGTGCTGCCCTTCCAAACTTACTCCTGTACCATGGGAGAAAGTTGGATCGACCTAACGTTAGGAAACAGTCACATCACCCCGAGGGTCAACCACTGATTCTGCCAGTGATCATAGGTGTATCTTCACCCAACTGAACACTATTAGTAATACTAATAATCATAGTTTTCATTAAACCTGCACTAACTGGCAATTATTCTGTGACATTTGGGCCCGTACCCCTCACCACAGTCACTATACTCAGAACACCTTAGACCATCTTGTCACCAGGCTTACAAATACAATCACTAACTCTTATGTTATTGCCTCTGAAGTCAAACATTGTAAACACAAAAAGGTTTCTTGGTAGACCACTGAGCTAGAAAACAAGGAAAAAAATTAAGGAGATTAAGGAGGCAATTTAGGAATGATCAAGACCCGGACATTAATTAAAGTCATACTTAGAGACCAGTACAGGCACAAACACAATGCTTACAAAACCCTTATAAATAAAAAAAGACTAACACTTGGAAGGATTTCTGTACCAACACTTGTGGTCACAACCCCTGGTCTGAACCATACTACTTAGCTTGTAAGAAAAAACGCCAGCTCCAAACCCCTCTGCTATCCAGCTTCCTGATGGTCGCTACACCAACAACATGGAATAAACTATCATGCACATCCTCACCAACCTTTACCCTTCAGATGACCCACAGCAGGATGACAATACACAACCGGTCATTCAGAGTTCAACACTCACTCCACCTAATACAGACAATGACCACAACTTCACCTACATTAAGGTTTCGAATGCCATCTGTTCACGCACCAATAACAAAACCCCAGGTCTTGACGGCATAATCACTAGAATGATAAACTACTAGGATGCATTTGAGGCAAATCCTACAGCGATTGTAATTCTCTTCAATATCTGCTTGAACACTGACCTTTTTCCTACTCAGTGGGAAAAGGCTAGTGTCAAATTGATTCCCAAACCCACCAGTGTTAACACTTACAAAAAATATAGGCCAATCTGCCTTCTCCCAACTCTGGGAAAAGTGTTAGACGGTCTAATGATTAATAGGATGATATGGCATCTACGCAAGCATCCTGCATCAGAATCAGTTCGGCTTCTCTAAAAACAAAGATACAGTAGATGCCATTCATCAGGTCATTAACCATATCCACCAGGATAAACAAAACAATCAGCAAACCACAATTATCACTATTGACTTTAGAGGCACCTTCGATCACGCCTGGTGGCCTTTTATCCTGCACATATTACACACTCATCATTGCCTTCAAAATCTTTACAAACTTCTTCAGTCCTATCTTAGCAACAGGACTGCAGGTGTAACAAAATACAACACAAAATAATATAGTCATACCCATCACTCGAGGCTGTCCTCAGGGATCCAGGTCTGGTCCTGGTCTCTAGAACATAGCCTATAACTCTATTCTGCACTTAAATGACACCCTGCTTCCTGGCTGCTGTATACAGAGCTATGCAGATGACACAATTATCCTAGTTTCACACAGGAACAGTGAACTCTCAATAACATTCACCAGTGGAGTAATAAGCATAGGCAACCCATTAACACAGACAAATGCAAAAGCATGATAGTTGATACGAACGCACCACTCCATAAGGAAGCTTACCCTTCGAATAGGTGCTCACAGAATAAAGCAAACAACGGAAATTAAATATTTAGGTGTTATTTTTGACGAAAGACTTAACTTCACATCCCATATCAAATACATCACAGACAAAGCTAAAAAGATGGCCAATGCCCTCATTAGTATTGCTAGGAACACACGGGGACTTGGCCCTAGTGCTACTAAGCTTATTTACAGGGGTGCAATTCAGCCAGCACTCCTCTATGCTGTACAAGTCTGGGGCTACATGGCTGCCAAAGTCCAGAACCGTAAAAAACTTCTCTGTTCAAAGGATTGCAGCTCTCCACATTTGTATAGGACCGCACCCACTACAGCCCTTTTGCTAATGTCAGGTTTGACCCCTATCGACTTAGAAATTGAATGCATTATTTGGTAGGAAAATCTCGTCACCTTACCCTGGTGAGATTATAGCGACTCGGATGTCGACAAAATAATTAGAGTAGGTAAGATTCTCCCAGTTTGACCTTGATTGATGATATCAAAAAATTCAGCATTGACAAAAATATCCTCCCAACTTACAATTATCACCCCTCCCATCAGCTTGCCCCTGATGTGTATTTGAAGATCCAGGTGATCATCCCTTGTTTAGGATTTACACTGACAGTTCCAAGATGGATGACAATGTAGGTGCCACTTTTGTAGTTTACTCCAACTTAGGCTGTGAGCTTCACAATGCTTGATTCCGTCTAGGTACACACTGTTCAATAGCACAGGCAGAAACTTTAGCTATTTATATGAGCTTAATTCACATTAGGTGTAGGAAGGACAAAAAACATTACTTACACTATCGCATTTATTCTGACAGTAGAGTAGCGTTATACAGGATTGCAAAGTCTGATAGCCGCTTAAAACTCATCCATCTCATACACCACATCCTCAGACACTTAGACAATAACAGTAGAATATATTTTCAATGAGTCCCAGGTCATGAAGGGGTTCTTGGCAACGAGACTGCTGACTGTCTTGCCAAACAGGCTGCAAAGTCTTCAATCACTAGTACTTTCACAGTTACATTCTTACCTTGTACATCAACACATCAACAATCAAATGAAGAAGCAAATCTTCATTCTCTGGCAAGACAGCTGGGACTGTGACACCACTGGTAGGCTCACCTACACTTTCATTCCCAAGGTTGACACTACAGAGATTCTTTGCCACTTTTACCCTAGTTACACCCTCACTCAACTACTTACAAGACACGGCAACTTTAAGCAATACTTGCATAGATTTAACCTTGGGGACAATCCACAATGCGATTGTGGTGTTCAGGAGGACCAAACATCACTTCACTTAGTTTTTTGCTGCAATAGATACAATCACATTAGGGATAGTTTAATGAGAGCTGATATTCTTGACAGGTACAACTGACCTTGCAATTTGCATCAATCTTCACATGCGTACAATGTTCCATCATCTACTTGCATTCATATCCCTTAGTGGGGCTCTTGAGAGCACTCACTCTAGGGGCACAGATGGCAATTAACTTTCCCTTGCTTTGTTTCAACTGATGGTATATATAGCTGCCTTTTAACTTTGTATTTTAATTCTTATTTTCTGTCTTCTTTTTCAGTCTAAATTTGTTTAGTGTTAGTTGTTAGATTATGGATTCTTAGCTAGGTTTCCAGTTAGGTTAAATTAGATTAGGGTTTGTTGGTGTGAAATCTGCGAATATAATGCAGTTGTCGGAAAAAAATTTGTAAACAACTCCGATAGAAAAACGCTCCTGGTGAGAATTATCTCAGAGGTCACCGTTTGTTATCACAATTAGCTGGGAAAGTTGACACATAAGTGTCAATAATGCACCATTAATGTCAACATGTGGCGATCACGTGACTCCTTTCCCATGACAAATGAATAAAAGCTCGAGCCCCGGAAGCTCAGCACGCGTCCGCACATGGAAGATATTTGTACTTGTGCCAGTCGATCTCCATGAAAAAGGACTGTGATCCCGTCGGAGAAGACATCGGACAGAAGACACCAAGGACTACCTCTTCCATACTGACAATGTGCCAACTCTCCATTACTTTGAGAAGTATTTAGGGGATATTTTAGAACTTGTAAAATTGCTCTCTCTCGCCCCAAAGTTAGGAAACATAGAGGAGAATAGTCGTCCATTATATGTATATAGTCTATTTTAACTGCAGTTAATCTTAGAATTAATTATCGCCTTCTGTAACGTAAATTTAGTTCCTCAATAAATGCTTTGTTTATTTGTTAAACTGTCTCCTGTCTTTGAAAGGATGCCTGCCAGCTTACCAACGCACTCCCCACTCATTTTTTACCCTCCTAGCCATCCAACGATTCCGAGACTGGGTTTTACCAACCTGTGCAGTGTAAGTGGTCAAGAGGGATTGTCCCAGTGGCCCTCTGCTGACTCAAATTAGCTTTAGTCATCCAGTTAGGTTCATCCTAGGTTATGGTAGGTTAATTTAGTTAGTGAGTAAGTTAATGTTTAAAAAATAAATAAAATAAATACATAAAAAATATAAATAAAATTTAAAAATTTTGGGGTCTTGCTTGTTTGTCTCTGTCAGTCCATTCATCTCATCTAGTTTGTCATAAAATAAACAAACACCTTTCTCTATTCCAGCACAACGTTTAATACATTAAAAACGTTTTCAACCATTTTAAACGATCTTCTTCAGTTCAAATTCAAACCATATAACAAAAAAAGTATTCGAAATAATACAAAAATTCAAAGTGCTTATTCACAACTTAATGTTAAAGCGCATGCCCGTACTCATAAAATGAAGAGATTAAACCAAGATAATTAAAAATAAACCAAAAATTATATATCAAGAAATATAAGAATAATTAATAACGCCGCCTACACTGTTGCAACAGTTAATCTATGTTATCATAAAAGGACTTCCAGGCCGTTGATAAACCTTCAGCATCCCTGTGATTGATGCATTGCACAGTCATATGTGCCTTGTGTATCTCAACTTTTTCCAGGTGTTTCATTGCTTGCGTTGATCTTGTAGGTCTAATAATCGCTGCCTGATCCCAGTATACTGCAATTCATTGCTGCTTTGCAAATGCTGTGAGGACTATGCTTTCAACACTCCTATTCACTGAGTATTTGTGCTCATCAATCCTTTTCTTCAGATTCTGCATTGTTGCTCCTATATATATTAGGTCAGAGTTAAATCTGTGGTCTTTCATAGGTATTGAGCAAACTCCTGTCATGCTATTACGCTCATATCTTCTCTTATCGTTTCTTAAAAGCTTACACACTGTAGGATTACGCCTATAAATTATTTTTATATTCCTATTTCTGGCAACTTTCTTAATAATTTTATTTAGAAACGGATGGTAATTAATCACAATTTTTTCCCTTTGTTCAGTTGCTTTTTGTTGTCGGTTCTGTTTCTGCAGCCTTGTTATAAGTGAATCGATTGTCTTTTTTCTGTATCCTTGTTGCACAGCTATGCTCCATATATATTCCAATTCTTTATAATGTGTGTAAGCCCTTACTATGCATGATCGAAAAGCTGCTAATTTGATGTGTTCTGGATCTGAGGAATTCTTAGGTATGATAACTGGTTGATAAACCAGCTTACGGTATATATTCGTTCTGATCTCACCCTCTTTCCATATGTTATTGTTAAATCTAAGAAATTAACACTATTTTTACTTTCCTAGTCTAGCTTTAATGTTAGCCCATAAGGGTTACTGTTGATTAAGCTTATAAAATGGTGTACATTACGATTGTTTTTCCACAAAACGAAGACATCATCCACATACCTCGCATATATTATTATATCTTTCTGGAAAGTGGGTAATATATTACTTTCTAGCTTTCTTAGTACTAATTCACAAAATACCGCTGACATTGGGCTACCCATTGGTACGCCCCGTCCTTGTAGGTATGTTTTTCCTTCAAATTCGAAGAATGATGTATGGCAAATCAAATCAGTTAACTCCAAAATGTGCTTATGGTATTTCATAGTATCTTTGATGTTAGCGAATAAAAAATCTCTCAAGGCACAAAATTTTTGTAAGGTGGTAATTTAATCAATGGGTATAAGGCCTTGTAATCTATGACAGTCATAAAATTTATATGGGAAAAAATCCAGGAGTCACCCTATTCAATAAAAAACACAGTCCAATTGGTGCAGAAACTAGCAAACACTAATAAAATTTAAAGATATAATATGCTACTGAATCAAATAAAATAAAATATCTTGTTATAGTTCATTATAAATATTAGAAGTACAGCAAAAGAACATAAATCAGAAATACATTAACTGTCATTACGTTTCTATATTCAATGGTTGACTCAACAGTGAATTTTCCGACGACACCATCCGTTCAATGATCTGACATCATGTTTTGTAGAAAAAAGAAACATTTCCATTGAAAGGGCACTTTTCATGATGGCTGACTTAATTGAGGAGAAGGCAATAATTGTGACTGTTTTGCTAAATAATTAAAGTAACTCGCTTAACCATTATTTGAATAAATCCTTTTATTCAAATGAACCCTTATCTGTATCATTTTCTTGTATACTGGTCTTTCTTTAATAATTTGAATTTCTTGAATATTTATATCATTAGGAAAAGGGCCAAATATCGGTCGTAATCAATTTTGGACAATTCGTGGAGCTTAATATTGACCAAATTATCCAACATAATCATGCAATCACATGTTTTATCACATACAGATTGTTCATTAATCTATCTGCTATTATAGCATCCACAGCAAAAGTGAATGAATAGTTTCTATAAGCAAAATTTACTTTTTCATAGAAGCCTTATGTTAGTTTGTTGAATACTCAACAGTCTTTCAGGTCATTGAGACCATTGAGCTCAATGGTGAAACAGCACTGACATCACTAGTCTCAACAGAAAACTTAATGGTCCATTTAGAAACATTGTTTTCTCACTGTTGAGTCAACTGTTAGAATATATAAACTGTTGAATATGTATGGAAAATATAAAACAATTCAAACACTGTACTTTCACTTTTAATCATGTAAAATATTTTCACACATACAGAATTAATAAATTCAAAATTTAATTTAAAAATAAAAAGATATAAAGTAACACAACATAACAACGTTCAAGGTATTAGATATTTCATTATGCATTAGATAAATAAAAATATATTAATTTTTAATTTATGGCATTATACTTGAAAGTTAATATTCAATGGCAGAACTACTGTACAATGGTGCAAAGTGGTTCATCTAAACCAGGACCTAGGCATGTACAACTTCATGAGACCCAGGCAAACTTGAATTAGGGATAATGTCTATTCGTGAACTAAATAAACTAGCAACTTTTGGCGTCCAAATAATCCATAGGATCTCCTGGACAATACACATCTTTTCAACTAAACTTTTCAATCTACAGAATAAAGGATAGAGATCTCAAGAGACTGAATAATTTTAAGTACAGGCATTTCTTATATGTAGGGGATTAAAAAATAAAAAGTTTTTAGAATAACGGATATTTTCTTGGGTATGCAGGAAATTCATTGTTCATGATACAATGGATTCTCAGAGCAACTGATGACTTTTGGCAGCCCAAGAACTCCATTAAAACAAAATTCTACTGTGTGTATATGTATGTATATATATTATGTTCCAAATTTCATCTAACTTTAATTTCATTCTATAAACCATCTCAATATAACAGAATTCAAGAACAGATATTTCACAGTATGTTATAAACAATCATATTAATCTTTTAATAAATCAAAAAATTAATAAAAATTTCAATATACCAATTTCTGATTGAGAAGGTATAAGTTTTCTCACTGCTTGAACAGCAGCTATTCTTTGATCTGGATCTTCATTTAATTCGTGCTTTGCTTTGACTTGGGTGACCTCTGATAAGGCCCATCCATATTCTGCCATTCTGCATGATACTTTACCTTCCACTTTGAAACTCTGGATTAAACACTACTTTTATATTTTATTTTATGTCCTAAAATAAAAAATTTACAAATTCAAAATAGTTATCTATATATAATATACATTATATATTTTCAAGATTTTGTAAATTATTTAATTGATATTATATTAATATAATAAGATTTACATAAAATGGTTGTATGTAATGAAAAAAAACAGAAATATACCCAAATATATATCTGATAATGTTTGTAGATAACAGACAAAATGTTCATATCATTAAATAATTCTACTACTTTTTGGTATATTTGTGTGTGTTTTCTATAAGATTTACAAATGTAACAAACGTAAATGTAAAATATAAAGTCTATAATGTAATAATGATATCAATAAAATAAAAAATTAAATTCTATTCATAATATCTAGTATAATTAAGGAACTTAAAATATTTTCTATAATAAGTTATTATATGTTTTAATAAAATAACAAATACATCATTATTATTACTAAATTACTAAATAAATTTTTATAAATTATTGCTAAAATAAAATGTACTCAAATATTTGAAGTCAAGTTTCTCATCTATTATATAATATTGCAAATTTCTGTTGAACTATTATATTTTTATTTCAGTTCTTTTCCTTAAATGATTCATTTTGCTTCTATAGTCTAATTCACAAAATTTATTTCATAGGTCAATAATCTAATATCTAATAATGAGATTATATGAAAATCCTTTTTTAATATTAAAAAATTTATCATTGTTGTGAATAGTCTAAATTATCTAAAAACTGTAAATTTAAAAATATATGCATTAAAATTTATTTCTCTTAAAATTATTAATAAAGTTTTTTATTCAGTTTAATAAATGCAAAATAAAAAACCTTTATACATATATTTAAAATTTTTCATTTAAGATTAAAAAAATAATTACTACTAGAAAGTTCCATAATTTTTAAAATCAATCATGGAAGGAAGGAAATGCACTAAATTATGTATTTAAGACAATAATTTAAAAATCATTCATTCATTTTAATATTCAATCATACATCCATAGTACATAATGATATAGAACAATCAAACTACAAATAATTAATCTTTGAACCTAAAATAAAGCAAACTATATACTTTATCACATAAATATTTATTGTTCCTTAAATCTACATTATATAATTGTTCACTTTAGTAAAAACATTTATCATGTATAAATTTCAAAAACAAAATAGCTTTACATTTTAAATCCAAAAATTATCAGTCAAAGATATCTATGTACGTCACTGTCAAGTTATTTTGCACCCTAGGCAAAGTTTACAAGTATGTCCCTATGTCCCTTATTTCACAAGTTGTATATCTTTGAAAATGAAAGTTTAAATATAAAAATTAAAAATTATTTTGCATGCTTTATTTATAATATACAAAGTAATATACAATATGTAATCCATTTAAAACAGCCTTTTTTATCTTCTTTTTTAATTAATTTGAAAATTCTCTGTTATAATTCTTTTATTCAAATCATTTAGAAACAAAAAAGAACCAAGACTTAATTAGTAAAACAGTGTGATGTGTGAGGGATAAGAAAAAAAAATTAATACCTAAATCATATATCACTATTTAATTTAATATTTTAGTGAAGTATGAATTAAGCATAGCTTGAAATTTTGCACCCCCCTTTATGGCTTGTGTCCTAGTTTGCCTAAATAGTAGCACCAGCCCTGCATGTATACATAGTTAACTCTCAATAATGTAAAATTTAATATTTCAAATCATGATTAGAAATCAATATATTTTTATAAAATCAGAAAAATTAAATATAGTGGGTGATCAGTTAACGAACAAATCAGATAGAGAACACTTTCGCGAAAGATTTTTATGTTCGGACAACAAACACATGATCGAATAACAAACTCCTCACAGAACAAACACAATAAGAAGCGATGTAAAATAATAAATATTGATTGGTCTTCCCTTGTCTTCAGAAAATTCAAAACTTTTGGAGCGCAGGAGACGTCAACATCAACGCTCAATTCAGTATATACTGATCACATAGTATTCCTCTGAACATTGAAACTCTCCCTTGTAATTCCAGTCTTTTATTTTTCTGACAGAAACAATTTTTTATAGTATTCTTGAAACTGTCAGGTGGGCATTCGTTAAGTTTTGCATCAGTTTTTTATTTTCAAAAGGTGAGAGTATAATAGCAAAGGTAGAGAGTAGATAGATGTCTAATGTCTGTTGTTGCTGGGCAGTATGGCTTGAACAGCTCTACAGTAGGCTGCAGTTCAATCTTATCTACGAAAGATACTGTATAATCAAGAAGACTCAAGCAGCTTAAGGAGTAACAAAAATCACATCTGATAAATAAAGAACATTGAAGATCTCATAATGGAACCTGAAACTGATCTGACGACAGAAGAACGCCAAGAACTCTTGAATGAAGAACACCAAGAAACTCAGCAAGATATGTTTTCTTCTGAAAGAGAATCCAAACCAGGTTGAGGTTAATAGGCTTAGGGATCTCTACAGTTATAATGCTATTAATTATTTCTGAAAAATCTTGAACAGAGAAAAGCAATTGATATTAGACAGATTCTTTAACCCCACACAAATGGAAAAAACATGACTAATAAAAATGCAAGACTGTGTATATATGTATTTTTATTATTACATATAAATAAATGTAGTAAGAAAGTATATATTTTTATTTTTTGAGGTCTCCAGAATGAATTAATCAAATTCCCATAAAAACCTATGGTAAATCGATAATCAGTCAATGAATAATTTGGATAGTGAACAAAGTCTTGGAACGGATTATGCTTGTTAACTGATCACCCACTGTACTTTTTTAGTATTCAATCATATGTAAAATACAGAATAATAAAATGAATTGTAAAAAATAACTAGGTATTTTCCAGGAAAATAAAACTGAGCTCTGCAGTGTACAAAACTAANAATAAAATTTAAAAATTTTGGGGTCTTGCTTGTTTGTCTCTGTCAGTCCATTCATCTCATCTAGTTTGTCATAAAATAAACAAACACCTTTCTCTATTCCAGCACAACGTTTAATACATTAAAAACGTTTTCAACCATTTTAAACGATCTTCTTCAGTTCAAATTCAAACCATATAACAAAAAAAGTATTCGAAATAATACAAAAATTCAAAGTGCTTATTCACAACTTAATGTTAAAGCGCATGCCCGTACTCATAAAATGAAGAGATTAAACCAAGATAATTAAAAATAAACCAAAAATTATATATCAAGAAATATAAGAATAATTAATAACGCCGCCTACACTGTTGCAACAGTTAATCTATGTTATCATAAAAGGACTTCCAGGCCGTTGATAAACCTTCAGCATCCCTGTGATTGATGCATTGCACAGTCATATGTGCCTTGTGTATCTCAACTTTTTCCAGGTGTTTCATTGCTTGCGTTGATCTTGTAGGTCTAATAATCGCTGCCTGATCCCAGTATACTGCAATTCATTGCTGCTTTGCAAATGCTGTGAGGACTATGCTTTCAACACTCCTATTCACTGAGTATTTGTGCTCATCAATCCTTTTCTTCAGATTCTGCATTGTTGCTCCTATATATATTAGGTCAGAGTTAAATCTGTGGTCTTTCATAGGTATTGAGCAAACTCCTGTCATGCTATTACGCTCATATCTTCTCTTATCGTTTCTTAAAAGCTTACACACTGTAGGATTACGCCTATAAATTATTTTTATATTCCTATTTCTGGCAACTTTCTTAATAATTTTATTTAGAAACGGATGGTAATTAATCACAATTTTTTCCCTTTGTTCAGTTGCTTTTTGTTGTCGGTTCTGTTTCTGCAGCCTTGTTATAAGTGAATCGATTGTCTTTTTTCTGTATCCTTGTTGCACAGCTATGCTCCATATATATTCCAATTCTTTATAATGTGTGTAAGCCCTTACTATGCATGATCGAAAAGCTGCTAATTTGATGTGTTCTGGATCTGAGGAATTCTTAGGTATGATAACTGGTTGATAAACCAGCTTACGGTATATATTCGTTCTGATCTCACCCTCTTTCCATATGTTATTGTTAAATCTAAGAAATTAACACTATTTTTACTTTCCTAGTCTAGCTTTAATGTTAGCCCATAAGGGTTACTGTTGATTAAGCTTATAAAATGGTGTACATTACGATTGTTTTTCCACAAAACGAAGACATCATCCACATACCTCGCATATATTATTATATCTTTCTGGAAAGTGGGTAATATATTACTTTCTAGCTTTCTTAGTACTAATTCACAAAATACCGCTGACATTGGGCTACCCATTGGTACGCCCCGTCCTTGTAGGTATGTTTTTCCTTCAAATTCGAAGAATGATGTATGGCAAATCAAATCAGTTAACTCCAAAATGTGCTTATGGTATTTCATAGTATCTTTGATGTTAGCGAATAAAAAATCTCTCAAGGCACAAAATTTTTGCAAGGTGGTAATTTAATCAATGGGTATAAGGCCTTGTAATCTATGACAGTCATAAAATTTATATGGGAAAAAATCCAGGAGTCACCCTATTCAATAAAAAACACAGTCCAATTGGTGCAGAAACTAGCAAACACTAATAAAATTTAAAGATATAATATGCTACTGAATCAAATAAAATAAAATATCTTGTTATAGTTCATTATAAATATTAGAAGTACAGCAAAAGAACATAAATCAGAAATACATTAACTGTCATTACGTTTCTATATTCAATGGTTGACTCAACAGTGAATTTTCCGACGACACCATCCGTTCAATGATCTGACATCATGTTTTGTAGAAAAAAGAAACATTTCCATTGAAAGGGCACTTTTCATGATGGCTGACTTAATTGAGGAGAAGGCAATAATTGTGACTGTTTTGCTAAATAATTAAAGTAACTCGCTTAACCATTATTTGAATAAATCCTTTTATTCAAATGAACCCTTATCTGTATCATTTTCTTGTATACTGGTCTTTCTTTAATAATTTGAATTTCTTGAATATTTATATCATTAGGAAAAGGGCCAAATATCGGTCGTAATCAATTTTGGACAATTCGTGGAGCTTAATATTGACCAAATTATCCAACATAATCATGCAATCACATGTTTTATCACATACAGATTGTTCATTAATCTATCTGCTATTATAGCATCCACAGCAAAAGTGAATGAATAGTTTCTATAAGCAAAATTTACTTTTTCATAGAAGCCTTATGTTAGTTTGTTGAATACTCAACAGTCTTTCAGGTCATTGAGACCATTGAGCTCAATGGTGAAACAGCACTGACATCACTAGTCTCAACAGAAAACTTAATGGTCCATTTAAAAACATTGTTTTCTCACTGTTGAGTCAACTGTTAGAATATATAAACTGTTGAATATGTATGGAAAATATAAAACAATTCAAACACTGTACTTTCACTTTTAATCATGTAAAATATTTTCACACATACAGAATTAATAAATTCAAAATTTAATTTAAAAATAAAAAGATATAAAGTAACACAACATAACAACGTTCAAGGTATTAGATATTTCATTATGCATTAGATAAATAAAAATATATTAATTTTTAATTTATGGCATTATACTTGAAAGTTAA